GATTAAAATCTGATTATAGTAAAATTACTAACATTGCTAATATAGTTTTGATTTACTTAGTTGATTTACCACCCCAGTACGTACGTACGTACTTATTTTTAATACGTTAAATAATCAAGCAATTCTGCAATTGTACCGGTACCGGTACGTATTACGAGGAAACATGATTTTTTGTATCACGTTTAAATTTGTACCACTGTACATAATATATAAACATCGGAGTCAAAATTTCAACAATCCTCATCAAAAAAAAAAATGTCTAACGAAAATTTGTTTAGAGCCAGTTTAAAAAGTACAAACAATGAGTTTATCAAATTCTACGATTATTCAAAATTCAGAAATATTCGATTGATCGGTTCAGGAACCTTTGGAAAAGTATATCATGCAATTACAGAAAGTTCAGGCTTAGATGTTGCTTTAAAATCATTTGACAATAATAACGCGACCATTGTTCAAGAAATTATAGATGAAGTAACTTGATCTCTAATATGATATAATATTTAGATTAAATTTATCCTTTATTATTTATGTTTTTAATTTTTAATCAAATCCAGCTTAAATTATACAAAAATATTAGCACTCATAATAATATTATTAGATTTTATGGTATTGCCACAGAAGAAGGTAAGAACAATTTGAAATAGAAGAACCTAAAAAACAGAGTATTTATTAATTTATGATAAATTTATATGGAATAATAATTTTGTAATTTATCAAGTTTTTATAATATTAGTATTCGATAACATTTTTTATGTTATTTTATTAAAAATATTTAGGCGAAAACGACCTTCAGTCCTTTCTAGTTTTTGAATATGCAGATAGTGGAACGTTAAGTGCTTATTTACAAATTAATTTTCATAAACTTAATTGGACGCACAAATTAAATTTGGCGCAACAGTTAGTTGATGCGATAAAATTTATGCATGAGAGGGATATTGTACATGGAAATCTTGTAATTACAAATTTAATGTTTCAATTTTAACATGTTTTCAATATTATTTATTTAATGTAATCTAATCATCTTTATTAAAATATTATAGAATTCAGACAATATTTTAGTTCATAAAAATATTATAAAAATCTCCGACTTTGGGTTTTCCAGAAGCCTTTATAAAGCATCTAACATGTCCAATAATCTTTTGAAAAGTTTACCCTATGTGGATCCAAGGTGTCTTCAATCTAAATATCCATATGAAATAAACAAAAAATCAAACATATATAGTTTAGGTATACTTATGTGGATGATTTCTAGTGGTCGTCCTCCATTTAAAACAGTCGATCAAATCTCCGAATTGGTATTTAATATTCTAAGTGGTGTTAGAGAAGATCCCATAGAAGGAACACCATTGGGTTATGTTGCTTTATACACTGGTACGTGTACAATTTAACTAGGGATACGATCAGATTTATAACTATTAGAGTATACAATTTATAAAATCACGTTTATAATTTACAAACTATATACATATATATATTTATTAATTTATTTATTTACGATTAACATTATTAGATTGCTGGCAAGAAAACCCAGAAAAACGACCTAGCATACAAAAAATTGCAAGTTTAATCAATTATGAAATATTACAGCAATTAGGTTTGTCCACGAATGTTAAATCATATGAATTTTTTAAAAAACTAGTTGAAGAATTGTGTGATTTGATTATTAAAGAAAAAACGAAAGGAAAAACTGCTACAATGATTCTTGATAAAATGGAACAATTTTTTATAGAAAAGCGACAAAGTCCAGAGAATATCATCGATTGGTGTTTAAATAATCAAATTAATCCTATAGTTCAATGTATTCTTGCTACATGTTATTATTATGGGAAATGGGTTGCAAGAGATGAAAAAAAAGTTTTGGAATTTAGTCAAAAATCCGTTGAAGGTGGGTTTATCGAATCTTATAATTGGCTTGGTATCTGTTACGCCGAAGGTTTAAATACTCGAGTTGATGAAAAAAAGGCATTCGAGTGTTTTCAAAAGGCTGCTGAAGGTGGTTCTGCATTGGGTTATTATAATTGTGCTTATCATTATGAAAATGGGGTAGAAACTGAAAAGGATGAATTTATAGCTTTTAAATTATATCAAAAGTCAGCTGAAGGTAAGTATATTGGTGCATATAACAATTTGGGCTATTGTTATGACATAGGTAGAGGAACCGATATTAATAAAAAGAAAGCATTTGTATATTATCAAAAAGCTGCTAAAGAAGGTTTAGCTGCAGGACAATACAACCTTGCTGTTTGTTATCATGATGGTAATGGAACTAAAGTGAACAAAAGAAAAACTTTCAAATTATATCAAAAATCTGCTAAGGGAGGATATACGTTTGCATATAAACAACTTGGTGAATGTTATAAGTTAGGAATAGGAACTAAGGTTGATGAGGAAAAGGCATTTGAATGTTATCAAAAGGCCATAGATAACAATTCCGATAGGGCAATCTAGAAATATAATTAATGTATTGCTTTCATTATGTTAATTTTATAATAGGTTTATATACAGTAGTTTTGTCTTAATATTTATTTCAACGTTTAATATAATAATTTTTGTTTTAACAATTTTAATTTATACGATAATAAAACTCTTAATAAAATCCGTCCCAAAATGAAGATTTCTTATATACATGAAATATATATAAGTATCACGATGAGTTTGAGTTATAGGTGCAAACATATTTCAGTGATTTAGTTACCAATCAAATATGCTTGCATCTACAAATGAAAAGTTATTGAGTTATTGATGAATGACTTGCTAACAAGGTCATTGATATAGGAATCAAAATTTCAAGTGTAAAATTGACAAAGAAACTAATAAAATTTGTGATATATTTGATACCAAATCAGTTCAATACATTCTTCATCTCAACTGTTATTGATAAATCAATCATTTTACAAACTACCAGTTTATACTAGAGGCAGTAATTTTTTCAGAGATTAGAACTGGACTACCATAAAAGACCGGCTTGCATACTCGGTATATTTTGATTTATTTTAATACCCAGGGTACTCTGAATGGAGATATATATAGTACGCATCATACTTAGATACAAATCAGACCTTCAAAACTAGCAGGAACATACACCATGAGGATATACAGGCCGGTACTTTTAGACGGGTTTATAGAACAGCGGTCAGTAATAGTATCATGAGTTTGTATCGTAGGTAATATAGGAATTCTACTTTACATCGTAAACTAAATGGTAACCATTCTTGATTTGGTAGCATTTATCTGGGTACGTCAAATGACGCGTTTAAAAATGACAATCTTTAAATTATTTCGCTTTATACTGCTGTGAAATAAAGGTTTATTTCAAAAAAAAATTTTTTTAAAAACATTTATAGATCGAAAATTATTATGAAATATAGGAATCTTTGTGAGTTGATTGATTGAAAATAAATAAAAATTGCTTTAAATATAGCAGTTAAAATGATGTGTACTGATTTTTTTATTTATAAAAATTAATTATTATTACGTAACTACTTACATATAATTCTGTCACTACTTAAGATTGAAGCCGATTTAAGCAGATTCCAAATTTACAGATATTCCATATCCACTTATAACCTATATATGTTTTGTTTTTTAACAAAATTGAAATCAAGGGATCAAGTTCGTCAATAATAAAACCACCAGATTTTATCTAGCAGCTATAATTTCTACAAATAGCCTTCTCAATTGCATGTTTCCCTTCAAAAGAAGGTTGATTATAAAAATTCTGATTGTTGGCTAAAGTAATATTTCTACAGATAGCCTTTGCTAATGCATCATCATCACTCGAATCAATTTGATTACCGTAAACATATAAATTAGTCAGAGTAGTGTTTGTACGAAGAGCTTTTACTAATGCTTTTCCTCCTTTCGAACTAAGTTGGTTGTATTCAAGATCTAAATAAGTTAGAGTAGTGTTTACGCAAAGAGCCTCTGCTAATGCTTTTCCTCCCTCAAAACCAATTTGATTATCGGAAAGAGTTAGAGAAATCAAAGCAGTGTTCATACGGAGAGCTTTTGCTAATGCTTTTCCACCCTCAGAACCAACTTGATTATTACCAATATTTAATAGAGTCAAGGTAGAATTCGTATAAAGAACATCGGCTATTGCTTTTCCTTCCTCAGAACCAAGTTGATTATCACAAATTACTAAAGAGGTCAGAGTGGTATTCTTGCGAAGAGTCTCTATTATTGCTTTCCATCTTTTAGAACTAAGCACAGTATAAGAAAGATCTAAAGATGTCAGAGTGGTATTTCTATAAAGAACCTCCACTAAAAATTCTATTTCTTCTGAATCAAAATTATTAGTGTAAAAGTTTAAATAGGTAATTGTAGTGTTTCTAGAAAGATATTCAGATATCATTTTATTACAGATGGATCCATTAAATCGTAAATTTTTAAGATTCTTACTTGTTCGTAGGAACATTGCGATTAGGGAACGTTTAACGGCATTTATAGATTCATCTTTGTCTTTATAATAATCATCAATATATCCTTCGTCGTTAAGCCAAATTTTGACACCACTGTGTAAATAAATACCAACAGATGTAGTATAACTTGTGTATTTGAATAATGAATTTGAATAATTTGGAAGGTTAATTTTAAAGGGGATTAAAAGGGATCGTTCTTCATCGTTTAATGCTAAAAGATACATCCTTATGAGTATTTTATTGACGAAATGTTCTGTTGGTTCACTCCATAATATTGGTATAATAATTCTACACCAGTGTCGGTTTACAAGAAGGCATGAAAATAAGCTTTTATGATTATGGCGGAGGTTATTAAATATTTCGAAAAAGCATTCGTTCGGTAATGTTATCATTTTAAAAAGATTAAAGTGTTTAAAAACCGACTTTTCGAAATGTAGTGAAACGTTGTAAATTAGAGATGAGCAGATTGTGAAACTTTTGAAAACCAATTAGATTTCAAGATTAGGCGTAACGTGAGATTACCTTCTGAGCACTAACAAAAAATTCCTTACAAGAATTTAGGTACGTACGTACGTACTATCGCTATCTGTTTATGACAAGTTTATGACAAGGTTATTACTAGATATCTTTCATTTATTTTATGTTTTGATTTTCACGTTACATTAGTCAACAATGATTCATGCCCAGCAAATAAAATCACAGCAAAATAGCAACGTAACCAAATACGTATAATATGCCTTACCGTTACATAAGTATCAAATTTATTAAACTAAATTTTTTTTGGGGGAAAAGTGAAAATAATTACACGGGTCCGATGGGCTGAAAAAACATGATCACGGGATTACTGTGCCACAAAATACTAGTCATTTGACTTATAACGATTATAGAATTGTCGCATTTAGAGTTATCTATATACCGATTATTAGATAAATGAATGAGATGCTGCTTATAATCATTTTCGCTTAAATATTGTATAAAAATCAACAGAGTAGTTCTCTACTTCCATATTAGTAAATGTCGTGCCAATTCGCATAGTGGTTTGTTATAACAATAAGCAAT